GCAGAATCTCTGTAAAGTTGCTTGTGCACCTCAAGGCCTGACTTAACCCACCGCCTCTCACATCGCCATTTGTCACGTTTCAATGCTCTAAGCTCATCTGAGAACCAAGGTGCATGAGGCCTTAAGGTTGTAGTATGCTCTTTGATAGGAGCATGCCCGTCAAGTAGGTCGCTCAATAATATTGAGAGTGGTAAGCATTAACTAACACAGGAAGATCGGCAGGTGGATTATTCACCACTTGCAGACTAGACAGATCTTCAGCAAAGCAATTAAGGTCAATGTTTCGCACTCTGCGATGCTTAGAGTTGACTCTAATCAGAGGTGGCTTGGGAAGGTCCAAGCAACAAGTAATAGAAGCATGATCAGAAGGCAATTGAAAGGATGAGCGCAGCCGAGAAAGAATTTCCTCACCACAGGTCGTAATAATCAAATCCAACGTATGACCCTTTGTATGAGTCAGAAATGTTACATGTTGATGTAAATCAGCAGAATTTATAAGTTCCTGAAAAAGTTCAGCCTCAGGGTTGCACGCATCCATGTGGAAGTTGAAATCACCACTAATTAAACAGCATGTCTGTGAAGTGGATAAATCTTCAATAAGCCTACTGAAATCATTCAAGAACACTGACGTAGTCAAATTGTTCTTGCTTGAGGGAGGTGGTCGATAGATAGATACAAGTCTGAGAGATTTATTACCAGCTTTAACAGTAACATCCAGGCACTCCTTGGCAGTGTACACAATGTAATCATTCATTTTAATACCAAAGCCATTTCGCAAGATGACTGCAAAGCCTCCGCCGTTCCTGTTTTTCCTTGGAAGATGTACGAACTTGTGTCCACAGAGCGTATTTGAGATGTCAAGAGCGTGTTTGAGATGTCAGAGTGTGTTTGAGCGGTTCAGGCGGTTCAGGAAAGCCTGTTGGCACAAATTGCCCACTTTGTAAGAAAGATCATCCCGTGTGAAGCTGAAGAGTTTAAGAAAATGGATGTGCAAAGTCGTTGGCAAAAGGCTAAGCAGCTAAGACTTATCGCTGCCTCGGTAGAAATCACAAGGGAGGGCGATGTGCTCAAAATAGTTGGTGTGGTATTGACAGCTGTTAGAAAACGCACAATAGGGTATGCATATATATGAGATAATAAAGAAAGCCAATGAATTATAATTACAAAAATTACAGCATCGCAAATGATCGAGAAACTTGCACTCACAACCCAATATTTTTTTATCACTCTACTGGTTTTTTAAGCCTCTAAGCTAGTGTAGAGAGTAGTCAAAAATTCTTGAACTGATAACCTCGTAAATACGTAGAGCGTAGATAGTGGAACATAGAGTGTAAGAGCTTTAAGGGTAGTGCGTTGACCATAGATGGAAGAACATATAGCATAGAGCATAGAGCATAGTCAGGATAAACTCAATACAGAATTGTAAATTGGAAACAATTATTAAAACACTGCAATCCGTAATAACACTCAACATTCCCTAAGCGATATAATATTTGCTACAATAACTATATGCCATTACGCCTCTACAGTGTACGCATATCCGAGAGAAACGGAGCTTAAACATTCAAAATACTACTGTAGAGTCGTAGAGCTCTACAAAAATTTCTACACCTAAGCGACCTTCATAAAGTGGAATGGTCTATGAAAACTATCCAAAGAATAAGGTTACACAGACGTGCTATGAAAACTATCCGAACATTAGGGTTACCGACAGACTTACCTACAAAGATGATGACATTGGTGGCTATGCCTCTTCAAGGCTGGTAGCCACAAAAGTTATAGCCAAATTTGCGTTTTAATTTTGTGTTATGAACGTCATTCCAAAAAATTAGCTGTCAAATGACCTAAAATTTAACCATCAACCCTCAAAATGGCTTATTTTTACCAGCCATCAAACAGACCCCTGCTTTGAGACCCTCTTGCATGTACATTTGTTGTTTATACAGTGGAACGCTGTCTTGCAATTACCCATAATTATTAATTCAATCATGGCAACTCTTTTTGGCCCATTGTGACTACACCAACAACAGCAACAATAAAACATTTTATTATACCCATCGGAAATATTTTATAATATTTAAAGAGTACCAGCAGTCTGAAATAACTAAAAAGCTTAAAATTCCAGGGAGCCAAATTAGATAAGGGAAATTAAATGTTCACAGCAGTGGCAGAGTATGGTCAATACATACCAACGTATACACTATCTACATCATCATACAGACAAGCTTAGCTTAATGCAAACATAACACTAACAACATATAAGGCAATCTTCAAAAGTTAAACTTATAGCTACGAAGAGTGTGATCAAAAGCACAGCAATATTTTAGGATAAACCTAGTTAACATCTTTACACAGCGATAAACAACAATAAACTTGGATATTAACATTATGTACACAGCGACGTTTTAGGCTTTCCCTGACCTTGGATGATGTTTTCTAGTGACACCCAGAACAATAAATGATTCTAAGAGCTATCAGCCAAAGCCGAAGGCCGAGGCCGATTTAATGCTCAACAAGACCTTGATTACTTTGTATATCACAAAAAAACGAAATTCATTATTTGTATTATGCACTGTTGCCAAGAACTTTGATCATAACTTATATGTAAGGTGTAAGTGAAATCAGTTTAGTCTTAACACTGAATAGAGATTTCATTTGTTGCTAAAATGTATCTTTCACTCACCTTTTTTCAATGATTTTCAGCTTCAGGTAATCTTTTAAAAATTTTTCTTCCTTGGCTACTTTTGTGGAGTTTTGGATACTTTCCATGCCAACATTGGACAACATCAACTTCTTGCATCATTATCTTCCTGCAACCTGCAGCACACTTGACAGAAGATGAAATATCCAGAATTATCTGCAGCTCACAGAATAGGGATTGATACTTCAATGTAGAATAGAAACCAATCATCAGATGAAGTTATTTTGTGTTATTTGTAGTAATCAGTGGTTAGGTAATATTGTCTTTGAAGGTGATAAAACTTACCAAGACTTTCAGTCACCCTGCTTGTTTAAAGGGGGGCAGATTTATGGGGGTGGATTGGGTGGCTAGCCACCCCTCTTTTAAAGAAGCAAAATATACGTATATTGAACAACATTGTAAATATTATGGCAGAAATAAAGGCAAACACTCTTACAGGTTCCTTATTTCTACTTTGTGGCATTCCAAGTATTTCTGGTCCAACAGTTTGCAATGCCCCATTGATTCTGTAACCCCAAGGCACCAACAGATATCAATTATATTTTTTTTAATTTCAAAGAAATTGAACCAGAAGGCCAAGACAGTGAAAGTACGTGTTCGCCCTTATCTCCTGTTCAGGGTAAGAAACCATTTTGTAATATATTTGAAACAAAACCCTCAAGTAACCCCAAATTACCCACTTTTGGGGTAGATTTTGAAGACCTTTATGTCTCTGTGATGTGACTAGTTATTATTATATTTCTTTACGGGAGTGACTATCCAGAGGGCATTCAATACTTATTATTGATTTTGAATGTAATCAAGAGTGATGTACAGTGTTTATGTCTGATTGGTTTGATGGCTATGGGTATGATAATTAGCTGCATAATTAGCTTTTTTTGTAAAGGTTTGTTGGAATGCTTGTTTGTTGCTTGTTTGCTCCTGCAGCCTTCTGAACATCTAGGAGCCGTTCTTCCTGACAATGATGCAACTTTTGAGCTATTTGATAGAGTTGTTAATGTCAAACTCAATGCCGCTGTTCCATTTGGTTTAAGAGGAACAATAGTTGGCATCCATCAAGGTATCTGTACATGTATCAATTTTAGAGGTTTGTGTTTTCCTCTGCAAATTAGTGATTGGTCGGAAAATGGGCGGGAAAAATAATTCTTCAAGGTCAGAGAAAAGTCAGGGATAGAATTTTATTTTAAGTCAGGGAAGATTGACATTTTGAAGGGTCAGGGAAAATTGAAATAATTTTACAGGGCTGATTTGATATGTACATTGAGGACTAAAAAGAACATATTTTGAGGTCAATGTGATCTCAATGGTGTTTTTTGCTAATGAAGAAGGAGTATGTGTTTACAACATATCAGTCTTAATGAATGGGTGTAAAGGATGGCTGTAAGAGGAGGCTAGAAGCCACTCTTATATCTGACAGTTTGCATTTGTATGGTTGAGGAATTGTATCAGGTAAAAGTCAGGGAATTTTGAAAAGTGATTATCTAAGATATGATGGCAACCAAGAAGTTGATGTATATACCATTTTTGAGTTTTGTCATGATTCTGTAATATTGTATAAATTTATTTTTTTAATTAGGTGAAGACCCATCTTCTGTCCAGTATGAAGTTGTTTTTGATGAACCCTTTCTTGGTGGAGTACCACTAAGGTACAAATCTCTGTTTATATTATTGCATGATAATTTATGTCAGTGACAAAACTGATTACAGGGCTCTTCAGGCTACTTCTTGTCACACCAATGTTCTCAGAATGGTTACAGTGGTGGAAACAAAATTGTATTTAAAACATCTGCAAACTAAGGCTGTAATGCTGTAAGTAGATTTTTCAGAAGCCATATTTTAACTTCTGGTGTTCTATATAGGCAATTAAATGCAGTTCAGAATTCTTGATCTTGCATCTGCGACTTGTTTAGTCCCAAAGCATCAAAAACTGACGCCATGCCACTGGTCCAAGAAGTGGTGCCACCAAAGGAGGTCAAGATGAAACTCTTGATTGAGTCTAATTGGATGATCCTTAGTCTGAAAGCAGCATCAGAGATTGATCATACAACGCAGGAAAGTTCAGCCAGGCCATAACGACTTTGGTGGCATGATGCAAGTGGCCAATCAGAGACTCTAGCTCCCATCGCTAGGACCATTTATGAGGTAACCACAAACAAATCAGTTCCAGTGGAATATGCAACTTATAAGCAGGAAGGCAAGCAACAAGGGCAAGGGAGTCCAACTCGATGCCCAACATTGTTAGCACAGGAGTAGGAGTAGGAGTAGACACACTTCCCAGGGTGGAAGAGAGAGGCCCAAATGCTTGCAAACCTGTAAAGAAGTACTAAAGTTCTGGGCACACTGTGGGGAGTTATTTGGGCCTGCTGTAATGAAGTCATCCAAGTAGTGTAACAAATCGGAGACATTGTAGCAGTGCAGCAAGATCCATTCCACTGCTTCTGCAACTGTGTTGAAGATGTAAGGAACAGAGCGCGGGCCGAAAGTAAGGGCCAAATCAACATAATAATGGCCATGCCATTTCATGCCCAAAAGAAAACAATGAGCTAGGTGAACTGCAACATCCAATTTAGCCATCAAAGCTCCTTTATCAAAATGCAAAACCATAGGAATAACTTGATCTACCAAAATGTAATGCAACGTGAATTCATCGGGGTCAATTCCATCATTTATGCTAGCCCCAGCCCCCCCAGGATGACAGGTCTATAATCCGATGCCATTTGTCTGGTTGACCCAAAGCTGCTCACATACAAGGAGGGAAGTGGAGGTGTATTAAAGGGTCCAGCAACCCTGCCCAAGGACATTTCATTAGCCAGGTACTCGTCAATGACAGAAGGGCACTCATATGCTGAGGGCTTGCTCCTTTTGGCTGACCTTAATTTTTGAGAGTGGCTGAAGCCGAATTTGAAACCATCACGAAGCCCATCCAGAATGAAGGCAACTAGCTGAGGGTTTGGATTGTGCCTCAGATCCCGAGTAAAATGTTGAACCGATAGTGGGCTGACTGATGAGAATGGGGGAAGCATGACTGTAAGGTAGCAAAAAGGCTGTAATGAACAAATGTCTAAACATAAACAATGGTAACCTAGCACTAAAACAGAAATATTACCCTAAAAACAAGGCTAAGAACAATGCAAAGGCATTAAGGACTAAACATTCCGCTCATACATAACAGCGAACAACGCTAACAAAGGTGCTAACAAGCAAGAGACCTAAAAATACAACCTAACTTGGGCACCAAATAACTGTATGCTCGAGTCCAAAGACAGATAGCCTGGGTTTTTCATACAAACTTAAGAGAAGTCCAGAAAAAGGATGATAACAACACAATCAGTGAATGTCCAAGCACTAAAGAACAATCACACTTGTTGCAATTTGCTACTTGATCATACTAACTCGCGGGATGACACCCTCCACTTGGAATGGGCTTGGACTTGTCAGACCATATGCCAGGGCAGAATTAGGCACGGTGAGCCCCAGAACAACTCGAACATCAATGTGCAAACCGTCAAGCAGCAGAGGGGGCAGAACACTGTCCCCTGTTCCACGACTGACACACAATGCGGAAAGTGCTTGAACTGCTAGGCTCCAAGGAGCCCAATGGCACATCACTCCTCCCCCAAACCAAAGAGTTCACCACCTGGAAGCTGAAAAGCTGCAGATTAATTTCAGACCTGTGGACCAAGCCGGTAGCCACTGCATGGTGGTGAAATGCCTAATTGTAAGGAAGCCACACACGACTGGAAAACTTGCGGTGAGTCTGAAGGATCAGCAATTGGTATTGGCTGAGGTTCTTCCAGCAATGCAGAAAGTACAACAACAGAACCAACATAAAGGTTGAAAAGGCTCATCCACTCTGCAATGTCCTCGATGTGACACTTGGACTTCTTGGGAGACAAGGTCAACACTAAGCACCCATCAAACAACAGCTGCAGTTCAGGCTCCATGAGCATGATGTTGGTAGTTAAAAGTTCCTCAAACTCCACAAATTTTCCCGGAACAATCTGGGTGACAATTTGAGCTGGGATCGGTGAGAAGCTCAGACCAACCACAAAAGCTTGATGAAGAACTGGCATTGGAGTAGTAGCTAACACTGTCAGGACACAAGACGAAGAGGAAAAGGCCGCAACTGTTTTCGCTCAAGATGAAGCGAGCAAAGGATTTGGGGTCACAAACATAGACACAAACAAAAGCACAACAAAAACAGGCCTACCTTGAGATGACAAGGTCAATGCCAGTGACAATGGCAGCAAAAGGCCTGTCCCAGAAACCAGCAAGGCTGATGCTTGAGCTCCTAAATCAAGGCCAGGCAACCCCTGACAATGCCAGCGAGGAGCCACTCATACCAGCCACAGAGACACTAGTGGACAACGAGAGTGAAACAGGGGTTGGTTTGGCTGCGATGAAGGCTCTCGCCACCTGGACAAAACGGGGGTTGGTTCAGCTGGGATGGAGGCACTCACCACCTGAACAGTTGAGGCCAAGCATTCTGGGGATAGCTGAGCAGCAGAGAGCGCAGAAGCCACACAATGGCAGGAGTGTTGGAAACAGCAGGCTGTGAGGATGGAACGGAAACGTCTGGCAAAACAGCTGTATCATTCACACGAAAACGGGCAGTGTCCCAACTGTTTCATGCTCGACAAATAGCAAGAATCCAAGCAAGAATCTGCAACAATTTGCAAAAATTAGCACTTTCTTGACACACGGCAGCCAGAGATCCCCAAAGATTAGCCGACTACGCAAATGATCCACAAGGATCAGCTGCAAAGCGACAAAACATAAATAGGCCACAAGGTCTATTGAGGTCACCCCACAGGTCACATACGCTAATGGGGCTGACTGCTGGCTGCATTGGCTCAGGATTAACTTTGCCTAAATTACATTAAGACACATCAAAAAATGAGGGCAAAACCACAAAACAGGATGACAAAAACACAAGACCACACCAGATAATAGTAATTATTACTGTAGTGCATCATGGTGGAACTACATGACAGCAAGCAAAAGAGTAATGTTTACATAAGAAAGTTATGGCTATCCATATCACATTACAGAGAACCGTTTGACTGTGCTCCTGAACAGTTTTTAAGGTACATTGTAGGTGACAGAAATAAGTTTTGTGTCTGACCTGTTGACAACAGAATCAACTTTTTATTGTCATTAGATGCTCATCCAACAAAGTGTACTTAATGGGAGCTGCATCACTTATCAACATCAGTTATGGTGCTCGGTGTGAAGCAAAAAAGGTTGAAGAGAAGTCGGGAGGCAAAAGTCAACACCTAAGAGGGAGAGCTTCGTTTAGTCCCAACCTGGGTGCATCACCTGAATTGGACAAGAAAAGCAAGAACACAAAACTGTCAGCAGATGTGAGGCTGAATTCTCCAGGTCTGTACCTATATTGTGGCACCTTTTAAAAGAATGATAGTATGATAGTCAATATTTTGTTTGTTTGGCCTATATGTATTCCTCAAAAACTAGGTCTGCAATACATACTTGTGGGCTTATGCTTAGTTTTATTCCATTCAGTTGGAGATCACTGGCAAGATAAAGGTGTAGAAATAGGTGAATTATGTAACATCATTTTTTTTTGGATTTCTGGTATCAGCAAACACAAGTAGTTACAGCTTTTAAGTGGGAAATTTATTGTAGGATCCTGTTTGCTTACTTACTTTATCCTCTAATAATAATTAACCGCGCAGCCATGGGCCGAGCGCGGTTCTAGGTTTACCCGGGGTTTATTTATTATTTTTTTTTTGTCGGTGACCAGACCCAGACCTCCGCTCTGCCAAATTTTGAGTCATGCAACGTGTGATGTTTTTGTGGCAGAAGCTGTTAAAACATAAATACACGGACAATTTTACGGATATTGTTTTCTTTTTTGTGGGTAAAAT